GGTCCACGCTCTCCTGACTCCCGGGGCACACACTGCTTCTGCACCCTGGGTTAAACATTCCAGAACAAGTTCTTCACCTTTTGCAAGAGGTCACCTCCCTTTACCGCTGTAGTGTTTTTGGAGCAGACTTAATGTTGCTCATTTCTGTTGACTGAAGTTAATTGGGGGCAAGTCTTCTGCTCCTTGGTGATCAAACACAAGATCTTTCACCTGATCACCATATCTACAGCAGATTGGGGAAGAGCTTCCTTGTGTGTTTTAAGTCCTTCCGTGTGACCTGGTGCAACTGTCGCTCTTCATGTGTGAGAAGGGGGCCAGTGGGGAGGTTTTACCTCTGCCCTGAAGCTTCAACCAGATAGTGGTCACCAAGGAGGGACCATGAACTGCCACATGTAGCCAGTCACAAGGTGTTATGGCTTGTGTCTACAAGTCCCCCCGAAGCCTCATGTGGTCATGGGTGGGGTTTTTGGAGGTAGCTGGATCTGGTGTCTGTGATGCTGGGATCAAGGGTGTGATCACTAAAATAGTTCACTGACTGCTTTTGACTAAGGGTGCCCCACTTGGAATGTGAGTGCTACCCACCTTAAAGGCAGGTATCCTGAGTAAGATAAAGAGACAGAAAGAGGGCCACTGCTTGGTGCTTGTCACTTGCTTGCTGCCTCCTGCCTGTCTGTTTTGCTATGGACTGTTTATCCTCTGTGAGGCCCCTCTGCCATGCCACCCAGCCTTGGAGCCAGCTGACTATGGATTGAAACTTCTATGAAATATAAGCCAAATAAACTTCTTCTCCATTAAATTTGGTTGTTGTGTATTTTGTCTCAGCAACAAGAAAACTAAGACACAAAGAAGTAGTGGGTCAGGAGGAGGCTAATGCTTGGAGACGCAGTTTTTGCCTGAAGCCCATGGGGACGGCTTCTTTTTTCCCTCTGGCCCCCATGTCTCAGTCATGACTGTATTTTAAACAGACTGAGCTACTTCCTGCTCTGCTGCACCAATGGCATGAGCCACCATCCAGCATCTTTCCCTTCGGCTCTAATTTGATGCGAAGTGTGAATTTCATGAGAGAGGAAACGCTTCCTCCTGAGTTTTTGCCTTTATGTCCCCTGTTCACCTGTCTGTCTGAGGTATCTGAATGTTTTGAATGCATAAGACTGCAATGTTTTCAAAGCAAGAAAGTATAATTCATAAACTCCCCCTTCCACTTGCTCTGTCCTCTTCGATTCCCTATCTCCACCTGGAACCCAAGACCCAGTTTTGTGTGGAAGGGGACAGTGACTATCCTCAAATGTTTCAGCAGAGAAACAGTAGTTTTGCCCAAAAATCTGATAACTCACAAGGACTTTGGGTTAGGAGAGATGAAAACCAAAAGTGCGTATTCCACACCGGCATTCTGAGGACTCCAGGGAAAGTGCAAGGTTGAGAAGTGGAAACACTTTGCCAGTTACGCTGAGAAAAGCAGAACCGTGTGTTTGTGGGGACACGGCCCAGCCTCTGACCTCCCAGACACAACCTGTGCTAAGGAGCAGCAAGGCACCAGGCATCCTGGGCTGAGATAGCGCTGGCTGCATCCCCCCCGAAGCTCACATCCAGTGCACCTCCATTAACCCTCACCCCAGGAAACGCAACCAACACTTTAGATAAGGAAAGGAGGTCAGTGCTGGCCTGAGAGTCCTCACAACATTAGTGGGGGCTGGGGGAGGGAAAGCACCTGCTATCTGCTCTCCACCCCAGAGGGTGGACTTATCAGGGCCAGGCCCAGCACCAGCCACAGGCGGTCTACACTCGCTTGGCAGGATGGGAATGGGGGAGAGGAGGAGGGACGCAGGGGCTGAGCGTGCCTGTTCCCCTCTGCCCGCTCCAGACCTGCTGGGCCCAGGCCAGCAACACGAACTCTAGGCACAGAACTGTCACCGCTGTCACGGTGGCTGGGGGGTAGGAATCTCATTCTCGGGAGGGTGAGTCTGCTAGATAAAGGAGCTAAGGTATGTACACCTGCCCTCCCCAGTGCAGAGACCACAGAAAAGAAGGGAATGCTACAAATTTAAAGGGTGGGGGAAGAACCTGCTCACAGTGCTGAGAGCCTGGCTGAGGGAAGAGTGCAGCATGCAAAGGGACAAGGCGGAGGGCTGTGAAGGGGCCAAACAACCGCTGCCCAAGCACGGGCCAGGTTAGATCTGCGGATGAGTTCTGGGTGCAGCGGGGCCTACGACTGGATCCTGAGCGATGGCTCCGTGGGAGATGTCATATCTCTCAGTCAGGGTCCTCACTTCCCTTGCAGAGGTGACTGAGGTCCAAGCGATGTCAAGCTCACATGGAGCTGGTAAGGGCTGGTGTCAGCTGGTCTGTGCTTTCAGGCCCTTCCTCCAGCTGCCCACCTCCCAGTGTCCTCTAGATACTGTGGGGCAAAGGCTCAGAGCTACATTAGGTCACAGAGGCAGGCATGAGCCTCTCCAGGAACCGATGCATGCACCTTTCCCTCCCGGCCACTGCCACTGGCTTTGTGGCTCCTCCTCCACATCACCAAGGATGTGGCCTCCTGGTTCACACCATGTCCCCAACACTCGCCAGTCGCTGCCCCAGCACACACTTGCACACTCACTCTATCCCAGCCGCCCTGGAGCTCATCATTTCCAGCTCCTGCCCTGGCTCTCACCAGCCACCTCCTGTCCTAGCCTGGGCCTTAACGCGCCCTGAGGTTACCCCACCTCTCAAGGTTCAAAACATTTCTCTGTGGTTCAGACAGGCCTTCCACCCCCACCCCTCACTTGCCATGATGTTGGATCTTCTACCTCATGAAGACCTCTAATGTGCTGATCACTCCAAACTCAACTGCCATTTCCCATCCCAGAAATATTAAAGCTGAGACTCCACAGTCTACTGCTTTACTTTCTGCTGTGCCATGTGAACTACATGAGCCCTGTCTCCCTGCCTTATAGTCCACTGCCAAATCCACCTCTGCAGTGTCTCCAACTGGGCCTGTGAACACCAGTGAAGGGAAAATGTGCGTGCACAGCCCTCTCACATCACACACACACACAGCTGAGTGCCTGGATTCTTACTCTCCTGACCTGGTCAACCTTCCATGCATTCTGCTGTTTCATCAGCTTGCAGTGAGAATGAGAACTTCACCCCTACCAGCAGCCTCACTCTGCCAGGAAGACAGAAACTCCTTCATCCTGCCGTCCATTTCACCATCCTAACCTCAATACTTGCCTCCCTTTCTCTGTCTCCTCCCTTCCTATTAGATGCTCCAGTCTTCCTCTCGCAGACTATGTCCCCTTCAATAATCCCCCCCACAGCCCTGTCCCTCTCCATTCTCCGCTGTCTACATGTACAGGTGTAATCTCCCACTCGACACATTGCTCTTGGCCCCAAAGCCTTCTCCTGTGGTCCTCTCGTGGCCCTTTAATGACCAACTGAAGGGTCATTAGGTCTCCTCTCCTATACCCCATTTGCTCAACCAAGTCTGGCCTGCCATCCAGTCCCACCAAAGTTACCCAAAGCCTTATGCTAGAAAGGTAATGGACTGTTCCATCCTTATTTACTCAAACTGTCACTAGCATCAAGCATTGTGCACATTTTACATCGGCTTCCTCTGTTCCTGGTCTCCGACCCCCTCCTCACACTCTTGGGGTTGGCTTCCTCGAGGCCCCATCTGATCTCTTTTTTCTCATGGTGACCTTGTGACAGAGCTTGTATGCAGACTGCTCACAAATGTGTCACATGTCCTGAATGTCTACCTTGAACCTGTCCCCTTCAAATTTTGCTCATCTATCAAGCTTTATCACATGACCATCTCATACCACAGATTTAGAAATCACCTGAGAATGCTACTCCTCACATCCCTCCTCCCACAACCAGCCCATCAGCAGGCCCACATCGCCATGGCCCCTCTCTCCACTGTCCCTATCATGGGCCAGGTCACCACTTTCTCTCACAGGAACTACTGAGGCAGCTTCTTCTCTCTTCCTTTCTCTTGTAGCCCCTTGCAGCCCATGTTCTACCCAACACCAGGAATGACTCCTATGAAACATACACCGTGACCTGAAGGCCCATACGACCAGTTCCCACCGAGTTCCCAGCGTCAGCACCCCTTGTTACTAATGCCTCATTATACTTGCTTTTACCCCCTTCTAGACCATGTTCCAGTCAATTACATTTAGCTTAAATTCTTTACCAGTTTTCTGCCTTACCATCAAACAACAGGAGTCTAATTCTCCTACCCTTGAGTCTTGGATGGCATTCAATGACCTTCTTGGCCAACACTGTGGCAAAGGTTACATTACAATTTCTGAGTCCAGATCAGAAGCCTCTCAGTTTGCACCTTGGTCTCCCAGAATGTTTGTGAGGTAGGAGTTTCAATGCTCTACACCATCACATTGGAGAAACCACAACTTGAGAGCTTTTCCCCAGTTCAGCCAGCTTTGCAGCCACCCTACCAAGGTGCCAGGCCTGACATGTTGGCTTCTCCAGACAGGCCTTATCTCCCCCAGCTCATTGCCATCTGGACTTTTCAAAGGGTCTGCATCAGAGTTACAAGGAACAGTTGTTCAGTGCCCCCCCAGAAAATCTGTGATCTACAAAATCTTTTTTTGTTGTTGTTTTTTGTCTTTTTGAGACAGGGTTTCGTGCTTGCTTCAGCAGCACACGTACTAAAATTGGAGACAGGGTTTCACTATGCAGTTCAGGCTAGCCTTGAACTCGCTTTGGAGGCCAGGCTGGTCTCAAACTCACAGTGCTCCTCCTGCCTCAGCCTGCTGAGTGCTGCAATTACAGGTGTGCAGGGCCATGTCCGGCTTGATCTAGAAAGTCTTGAAATGGGATAATATGGTTGTTGCCCCCACTGTCAAGTTTATTTTTCTTTTTTCTTTGTCAATGTTCCTCCCACCTGAGCCTTCATACATGCTTCTCTTCTATATTTCTCAACAGCTGGCTACTTCTTGTCCTTTTGCTTATTCTTAAAAGAGTCCCTCCAGACTGACCCCATTAAAGTACCAAGCTAGTACTGTATCAGTTTATTTCCTTGCACTTAACACATAAACAGGCATCCAGTTAACACTATTAACCTTACTCTCCCCTCTCCATCAAGCTCTAGGGAACCACAGAAACCATGTGGCACATAAGGACTGTGGGTCCCCTTGCTCTGGAGTCCTGCAGAGAAAGGGCTCAGTCTCTCTGTTTCAGGTAAGGATGGGAGCATTCTCAGGGCAAAGGATCCTCTGCTGCTACTGTTCCCCACAAGCATGGACTGGGCCAGACCCTGAAGAGCAGTCATGGAGGAGAAGAGATGATCCTCTGCTTCAGAAGCTCCCCCCGCCCCCACCAGGAAGGAGAAGGGATGGTGACAAGGCAGGCACAGTTGCCACGTTCGGGCTAGACATGCTGGGTGGGGGCGTGTTCAACCTGTGTGGTCACAACTGGACATGGACGTGCATGGGGGTCCACACCGCGCACACGTGCACAGGAGGAAGCAGAGTGAGACTCTGCCAGGGCCCCGGGGATGAGCTGTGGGTTTCTGCCCGACGCCATCAGCTGCGAGAGTCCTCTGCTCAAAACACTGCACACACATCTCCCTCTTCTATTTTATATATATATATATTTGTACCAGGAATTGAACTCAGGACCTTGCACTTGCCAGGCAGGCACTTGTGCCGCTGAGCTGTATCCCTAGTCCCTGTCTCCCTCTTTTAATGCAGTATCACCTATCTTCTCTCAGGCCCAGGAGAGAACCCCTCCAGCCCGGTACCAAGGTCCTGATCTCAGGTTCTAGGAGTCCACAGAGGGTTGCCTCTACCGATGAACTCGAGTCTGAAGTCCGGGCACAGACGCAGGTTCTAGGAGTCCCAAGTCCTGGAGGGCTTCCAGTAGCTGTTCCCGGGCAGCGCCAATAAAGGAATTTTCCAGGAAGGCAGGAAGGCCTCCCACACCATCCCGCAGGGTGTACAGGGGTACCCGCACCATGCCCAGCACCTGTGAAGCGAAGGAGACAGAGGCATTGGGATTCCAAGTAGCTGCCCCTGTGACTTCAGTCCTCTGCAAAGGATCTCTCTCAAGGCCTTAACTCCCTCAAAACCTACATAACACGGCCCCAAACTCACATTCCAGTGAGGTTTACTGGGTCCGTCCCCATGTAATCAAATGACCCAGGACATGCTATCCAGCTCCAAAAACACTACTCCCTGAATCCCCTAGGGGCTCTGGCCTCCAGGATGCTGAAAGGGCCCCAGACCTCTGGTTCTGAAATGTGGAGCTCACACCAGCTGTACCAGTACCACTTGGGAACTCATCACAAACGGAAATTCTCAGGCTCCTCGCATTCCACTCCCCAACCAGAAAATGCAGCAGTAACGCCCAGTACTCAACTGTTTTAGCATACGTGCTACCAAAGAAAGCACAGTATTCTCTCTTTGATACACCTTTGCCTATGGTTCCGATACCTGCCAAAGTTTGAAAACCAACTCCATACACAGTCTGCTTCCTATTTCCTTAGTCAAGTATTTGGGCCGTATTTTGTACTTAAGATAAAGGGGTGCCTAAACTAACTTTAAAAGGATAGGTTTTCATGCCTGGCACTCCGACGTTATCAAGAGGGAAGAGTCGAGCCCCAGGTGGGTGTGTTCTAGAAAGGTCTCTGAGGCAGTGCAGTAGGGAGGGACAGGCCTTCCCAGGGAGACCAGGCTGGCACTATTATCCAGCTTGAAGATGACCACGACCCCAATTACTCCTGGAAACTGGGAAGCCTGCAAGGTCTGGCGGGCTATGACCTCCTTCTAGGGAACCCAGCTAGGCAGGGTTTCCCTGGACAGGGAATCCAGGGGTACAGAGGGAGCCCAGATGTGGGGTGGGCTCCTGGCTGGCCCCACCTCCAGCCCATGGTCCTTGGCTCTTGGTGCTCCAGCTTCCACCGCCTGCAGCTGCTCTAGCGTCAGTCTCTTAGCGTAGAAGTGCGTTACGACGCGCGGCCTGGCCCCGGCGTGTGAGCTACGGTAGTCTGTGCGTCCCACGCTGAAGGCGGAGACCGCTTCGCCCAGCTCCTCGCGCAATTCACGGTTCAGTCCGTCCTCCAGGGTGCTGTCCTGCGAGTCCACGAAGCCGCCTGGGAAGCCCAGGCGCCCATCGAAGCGCATCTGCATCTGCGGGGGAGCGAGAGGGGGTTGGCGGGGTGCCCAGGCAGTGCTACCCGGATGAGCGCGAGGCGGGCGGGCAGGGGCCGGGCGCGCCTCTCCTCACCAGCACGGCGTACCGCAGCGGGATGCGGCCGAAGAGCATCCCCGGGTCGGGCGCGTACAGCAGCGCGTGACAGGCATGTCGCCAGCCGGGCCCCAGAGCTAAGGCCTCGGCCAGCCCCAACTTCCGGATCCCCGCCATGGCAGAAAGCGCTCCCTGCCCAAGCCGGATGCCCACGTGGTCCAGCGGAGGGCGGGGCCCACAGTGACCACTACGGGCCGGGCGGAGCTGCCGGGCCAATTCCTGCAGGGACCGAGGGCGGGACCAAGGTGCGTAGGGGCGGAGCTTGCTTCAGAGAGGCCCTGGGCACCAATCAGGGTGTGGCATTAGCCTGAAGGGCAGCCTGACTCTCGGGAATGTGAAAGCTTCCGGGGAGCGGGGCCTCGCCCCGGGGCGGGGCTGAAGGTGAGGCCGGGCCCAAACCGCTCGGTTGAGGCCTGTAAATAAAAGCCTACGTGACAGTCTAGGGTCAGCAGGAGTTCAGGGAGGTCTTTAGAGCTGCGAAGCATAGGGTTTGTAACCTGAGCAGGATTTAATTGGAACATAGAATAGAACATAGAATTGGAACAACAGAATGTTTAGGAAGCTGCATTTGGTTTGCTCGGGTGATGCACAAAGCACGGCGCCTGGGGCTGGGGTTAGGAGGGAACGGCAGGTGTGGCTTCAGAGACCGAGCCTGTCCTAGGGCCGTGGGGGGAGAGAAGGGATTTACTCTCTCCTTTTGATACACGAAAATAAAAACTCCCAACCTGAACGATATCTGGGACGAGTTCGTGTTTTCTGAAATCGAAGAATGAATTTTAGGAACACGGAGGTTAAGAGCCGAATATATTATTGAGGAAAAGAAAGCTTCTGTCCAAGAAAGGGACAGAAAGGGGAGCCCGAGTGGGTTGCCCCCGACTCTGTCTTTTCTAGGGACTTTTATAGAGCAAACCACGAGGTGAGGTGGGTCCAAGAGAGGGGAAAAATGGACAAAGCTATGGTCAGCCGATAAGATTACAAGTATAATTGTTCAGGTAAAATTGAGTAAATTGGGATCAAATGGGGAAGCGAGTCAGTCACATAGCAAGCGGGCAAGAATACAGAACCAGGGGCTTTTCCTGTAAGGGGTTGGACTAGTGACTCTGGCTTTTTGAAGGTGGTTGCTACTTATTTAGAATATCAATCCCTGATGTTCACAGCTAGGGAGGTATGTGGGTGCATTTGTTTAGTCCTTTTGTCTTGAGGTCTGGCCCACAGGTATCTTATCTTGCCTTTCATCTTGCTCCTTCCAGGACCTGTCCCTGTCTGACTGCCTATAATATTTCTACCTAACTCAGCTCCCTATAACACTTCTCCAGAGATTGGATTTACTTTTAGGAATGGTGGGGTTGAGGGACTGACGGTGGGGGTGGTGGTGGATTCGGTGTTACTGAAGTCACAGGGTATAGTGAAGTTGTCTGAGGAAGAAGGAGGAGAAAGGAATTGTGGGAAAAACTGGCACAGAAAGGAGAGCGAGGAAGGGTCAGATATAGAAATCCCCTAGGTTCCTAGGGTTGAGGGTAAATTCAGATGCCCTCACATCTTTACCTTCTGATGGGTGCTCTGCCCAGGGCAGGGGCTGTACGGACCTGATGCTGACAAACAGGATTCAGGATCCCTCAGCCCAGGTCCATCTCCCCCATCTGGAAGATGCCCCTCACCAGCAGTCTGCTGATTCCATCAAGGGAAGGGGAGGACGCTGCTTGCGAGGGCTGGGCATGAAGTCATAGCCTGTAAGCAACTGGCCCTAACAGGAAAGAGCCCAGCACTGACCCGGATCCTGGCTTAGGACCTTGAACTCACTCAACCCCCTCAGGTCCCCAGTTGCTTGTCGGTAAATAGAGATGATACCAACCTGCTAAGATGCAGAGAGATGTAAAACAGAACGTCCCAGGCACACAATAAATGTAGCCATTCTTGAGATTCAGTTTCGGGACACTGTGCTGTGTCTTACATTAAAGCCCCAGGGTCTGGAACTCAGCCACACCCATCACACCTCAGCATTCTACGGGGACAGGAGACGCCCCTGGCATCAAATCTCCCAGCTTAACCTTCTGAGAAGTGGGGCAGAGATGCCATCGCTAGCATCAGGAAACTGGACCAAAGTGATGCGGCAGCCAGAGGTGTAATACGACTGCCATCAGCATGCTTCAGTTCTAGGAGGGTGGGATAGCACTAGCTAGATATTTTAGGGTCATTTTGCAAAAAAATAACTCTAAGCTTATAAAATCCACCAATTCCAGTCCCACCCTGGACCACTTGAGTCAGAATCCCTGTGGGTGGTAAGGGATCACTGGTAGTTTTTAAAACGTTTAGTTGACAGCCAGGGTCAAGAACCAATGCCATCACCCTGCCCTAGTATTCCTGGGTGATTTAATTTCTCTCCTCCTTGTTCTGCCTTTGAGAATCTAAGGTGAGAGGTAACTTTTTCAGAACATAGGCTCTTGTGCTTTTCTTTCCTGGTTGCTGAGAAAAGATGGATTTGGGCATTTTAAAGATGAATTCAGGCATTTCTGAGGCTACATGAGTAACTATAAAACCAAAGATACAGATAAATAGGAGAGAGAGAGAGAGAGAGAGGAATTAGTGACTTTGGGGACCAGCACTGTGTCCTAGATGAATGAATATGGAAACTCTCAATATGCCTCTGCTACCTGGCCGAGTCCTTCTAATTGCTCTCTGCCTCTGTCTCCAACGCCCACCCCCAAACCCTTATCTCACCAAGCTGAGGTAGATTACCTGGTAGTCAAGGCTGGAGGTAGAGGCTGAGCCACGTGCTAAAGAGCTGCTGCAAGTTCTTAATGGTCCTCAAAGATAAAAATAACTTTGATGGCCAAACTTAGTGGATGCTAGGGAATTGATTCATTGTTTTAAAAATAATGAGAAAAATAATTAAGCATTTATCCTTTCTTATATGGGCTGTACCTCATACTATAAAAGTATTCCTACTAATTAAAGCAGGAATAAGATAATCAAGGATTTATCATTTTAAAACTTCAGTGGGTACTAGGGGATGATCATCAATGGTTACTAAAGTTGCCAGAAGACAGCCAGTATAATGTATATCATGATGAAAAAACAAACCACCTCCTGTATATGGTTTTGGGTCATAATTCTGAAAAATAGAATCCTGAGTGCCATAATGTCAAATGTTGAAATTATGAATGATCAAAATCCCTAGAGTCTAAAATCTTCAAAGATCAAAATATGTTGAAACATAATTAAAATGTTCTTTAAGGGGGCTGGGGATTTAGCTCACCGGCAAAGCGCCTGCCTGGCAAGCGCAAGGTCGTGAGTTCAGTTCCCAGTACCGGAGAAAAACAAAAAACAAAACAAAAAAAAAAAGTTCTTTAAAAACATTTATTTTCATTTTAGAAGAGGATTTACCCAGGAAACATAAAAATGTAATAGAAAACCTCTAAGGCCACTTTATAACAGTAAAATAGGCAAAAGTAACTTTTTTCCCCTGACAGTACTGGGGATTGAATCCAGAACCTCACACATGCTAAGAAACACTACCACTGAGCTACATTTCCAACTCCATCTCTGTCTGTCTGTCTATTTAGGGTTTTTGAGACAGGGTCTCATGATACAGTCAAGGGTGACCTTGAACTTGCTATAAGTCCAAGGTTGGCCTCAATCATCCTCCTGTCTCAGCTTCCAGAGTGCTGGAATTACAAGTGTTTGACACCATTCTGGGTGAACATGATTAAGTTCCACAAATACAAACTCTTAGATATATCAACAAGAGTTACATGAACACAATATTTATGGACACTAAGAAATAAGCCAAAATGTTAAATGTATAAATGCATATCAGTCTAGTTGGTAATTGTGTACCCAGTTTTATGACCATGGGTATCTGAGTTATTTGGCAGTCTTTTGTTGAGGCTGATCAAAAACTGCAGTAGGTTGTCACTGCATATGCAGTTTCCCAAAGAGCTGAGATCTCATAATTTTGTATCACAGTTACAGATGTACACAAAGGACATTTCATTTGTTGAAGAAGTTTCAGCATTTTTATGTACATGCTCAATACTTACACTCAAAATCAACATTATAATGATTCACTTTTAGGAAGTGAAATTTGCAAGACATGCATAAGCTGTTAGAATGCAGTACTAGAAATGGTGCATAGATGGAATACATAGCATATAAACTATGAAAAATTAATGCCTACAATTTAAAATTGCTGTGAAAATTACAAAAAGGAAACCAAATTAACTTGTGACAAAGTGTACTCCACAGGGGTCCATAAGAGCTAGTGGACATTCAGGATTGTTCTATTTCAAAGTCTCATATCAAAATGAATATCTGTTTTCTTTCTTTAAAGATATTGCTTTCTTCTGAGAATACAGTCACATTCATTTTCCACATGGTGCCATTCTTTTTGAACTTCTATTATGAGCTGATATACACTGACATGTTCATTCCCTAGTAAGTTTTCCCATCATAGTTCCATATTGTTCTGGGGAATCCATTCCCCGGTACCAATAAACAGCCCCATATTTGCCCAAAACAACAGTGGTGATTAAACAGTAACACCATTGCATGCCATCTTATCCAACTGTGCACATGATTATTTTCTAAATAGTTAACTTCATGTTGTGGTTTGGGGGATATTGCAAGGGGAACAATATAATACTGAACACATATTTTATAAGATTATTTATAATAGTCACCCAAAGAATAATATACAAGAGAGTCCAGGAAATCTGCCCACATACTAAAGACCAAAGAATCTCGACCTGTTAAGGGCCTGGATCCCATGATAATGTCCTGCATAAGTCCAGCTGAAAAGAGCTCATAACAATACCTACCACAAGTCTAACTGGAGGCCTAGAGCCCATAACAATATGTCATGCAGGCCTGTTTCACGGTTCTGTGTTGAGAAGGCCCAAGGATCAGTGGTGGAAGCTAGAAAGTCTGTGCCAGTGGGACGAAGGATCTGTGCTAGCAGGCTGAGGGATCTACACAGGAGCCAGGAAGCAATGCACAAAATAAGAACTAGAGCTCCCCTGAAAAGTACCACAGCCATCCTCAGCAACAGTGAGGTCCCAATCTCCTCTGATGATCAGGACAGCTGAGTTCTCATCAGGAAAGCCAACATAGCAAGCTTCTCCAAGAGACTGAGTAGGGCACCATCTTCCCCTCTGGAGCCAGGAAGCAATGCTCAGAGTGAGGACCAGA